AAGAACCGGTCGAATCTACCTCGGAAGATGTTCGTAATCTTTCCTCTCCTGTGGCAGAAGTTTTGCCGGTCGCGCTTGCTGACGAGTCGGTGTATTCACCGGAATGCGAACAACGGTTGATCTCCGAGGTGAGCATGCTGACGCCGAGCGAACGACAGGAACTCCTCAGTTCTGAGACAGATGTGATTCTTCGTGAGATGTACGATTCGTACCAAAAAGGTGCGAAGCGCCAGAAGACGGGGACCACCGAACGGTCTTCTCCTGCCGATGACAGCGGCAGCGATTATTCATCAGGCAGCGAAGGAGATGCTTCGAAAGAGAGCGATCATGATCATGACTCCGATTACGTGGGAGAAGAAACCGAAAACTCAGGTACAGTTGTCTGGCACTCTGTACATGAGCTACTTACGAAAGAACTTGCCAATTTTCATTTATCATTTATCATTTTTAGAATCAGTTAAAAGTGTTTACTACTTATATTAGCGTAATTAGCGTATTAGCGTAATTAGCTCGTAACAATATGCACATAAGAACGAACAAAATATTCAGTGATGACAAAGCATATCACAGCTGCCTAGAGTGTACAACCGCGTATGTCACAGGCGTATTGTGTCACCTTGTCTCGCATGATGATGTGCTTTCGTAAAGAAGCCGTCACAAATTAATAATTGAATGCGGGTCAACTTCCATTTCGATTGTTATTTTGCGTATTGCAAAATATTGTACGACAGTTTTGTATGTTGTGTTTGTGAATATCGTCTCCTAGTTGTTTTTCCTAAAGCGTAAATTGTTTCCTTTTTGATATCCGGCGTGTTCGCAGCGTTTCAACTCTTTGGCTATAAGGCATCGGTTACTGCATCACAGAAAGAAATATTCCTATGCAAAAGCTGATCTGTCTCTATCTTTCTCCTCTCTGTTGCTTGCAGACCTCATCGTCATGTTTTGACTGCCATGCGATAAGATCAGCCAGCCAGTTTGTCTCTCAGGGCTAAACTCCTTTCCTTAATCTCCACGCCTATGGAGGTCACCTGTTCCTGGAAGAGAGTAGAGTCATTTCATTCATGGCTCTTCCATTTAGCCCCTTTTTGCGTTGATTCGAACGCTACCATACGCAGTTCATTCATGCTCCTTTACTGCAACTGTTTCCTTTTCGTACAACAACCCTGACCTGTCAGAAGCAAAGCAGAGGGGAATTTTTGTGATTAGATTAACTTCTGTCTCATACCAAATGTTGGACAGTTTTCAGAAGCATTCTAGGTTAGGACCATCCTCCTTTTCAACTCGGATTGGACGGTGCCATCGCTGAGAACGTTCTAGCCGAGTTGCATTTAGTGAAACTGGTCAACCTCCTCAAGCATTTCGCTTCCCTATTCCACATGTATATCAGTTATGCCGGATGCGTTCTTTAGAACCTTTGACTTTTGGGCATTATGGAAGAGACCAACTTTCACAGGTGTATTGCATGCAGAAGCTGTCAGTTGACAGAAACTTCTCCTTACTACCGACCAGGACAGTATGGCCTGCGGAGTCAAAGTCAGGAAGGTGTCAAGCGAGATTGTTGTTTTAGAATTGCAACCTATCTTTTGAATGAGACCTTCGTCTTAGGTATTATCTACTAATTTTAGTTAAGGTATCTTTGTACCTTGGTCATGCTTGATTGAAATTTTTGATTTACCCGCCCCCCCCCTCCCTCGAAGAAAAGGTCCATTTAGTTTGTCTCCTTGTCGGGATATCGATTGGTACCTGGTTTGTCTGAACCTTACTTGTGCATAAATCTTGTATTATTCAGATGTCACGCATTTTCATTTGATAGATTCATTATCATTCGAGGACGATGACGATGATGCTGATTACGTTCCACATCCACAAAGGATGTCCAGAGCGAAAACTGCGAAAAAAGACAAGAAACGAAAAGCTCCTGAACGACAGCCGGGGCATAAACCGGGATCAGTGTTATCTTCGGTCCCTCCTGAAGATTTCGATACCTTTATTTGCGGCCAAATCAAAGTATGTATACGTTTGATGATTTTAGTTTAGTCTTAATCAAAGGCGTTATAATGGCTAACTTCATTGACTGTGACTGCATTGACCGAGCAATTAATGCTGTTGCTGCTATAATGCTAATATTGCTCCAGTCTGATATTAATGCGGCGCTTATAATTTGATAGTAATTTGCTAAGCATAGCCATGAACCTGTCATGCAGTCATATGACCTCAGCTCTCCGATGATCATTTTCGTTCTTTTCATTCGTTGTTTCGCTGGCAGTGGTGATGACAGGCAGAAGGATAACCCGTACAGTGCTGGTGACGTTGTAGTGGTGTTCCATAATGAAACTTATGGCTACGTATGCTGTGATGAATTGGAAGAAGATTATGAACGTACACTGCATCAAAATCATGGTATGATAGCGATGGTGATAGAATACTTATGATAATGATTATATGGTTCTGAGGTGCGTTTGTTTTGTTCGTTGCTGCGACTGCGTGGTTATAAATGTTAACCTCCTTCCTTACCATATTCATGTAATTCACTGTTAATCTGTTGCGGCGTTATCTGCGTCATCTAGTAATAATTCAAAAGAATGGATGAAAGTGCTTGAATTGAACCTGATCCGTTAATAAATTTTCGGTAACCAAGATGTTGGAGTTTGAGGAGTTTACTTTGTTATTCGGTGTCTTAAATTGGTCACGGCACTGTTTCTCATGCGGAGGCAGTGTTGATGCGGAGCAATGAGTTAACGCCATCTTTTTCCTTATAATGCAGTACATCTTCACCATCCATCATGTGAGAGACAGCTGGGTCAAAAAGGCGTGAAAGCTTTGATAATGCTTTTTATGAAACTCTCGTAACGTCCTTTATGGCGAGAAATTGTTAATTTAATGTTTATATTGAACGATGGTTACACACTGTGAAATGACAGTACATCACTTAAAACGGCACAGCCAGGGTGAGCTCATGTTTAAACAGAGTTAAAGTTCAAGACACCCTGTGAAGTACCAAACTGATCTGAACCATGCAAATGAAATTGTCTTCCCTTGCTTACTGAAGCGTTGTGTGTGTGTGGGGGGGGGAGAACCCAAAGAGAATGGTAAGTCGAAAAGTACGCCATGGAAATAAAGTCACTGAGGAAATCCTGCAGTTCGTATGCTTCGGCGCCATCGCCTCAAACTATGATAACTGTGACTTCAACCTGAACAGGAAGTGGGTCTGACTTATTTCATATTCAAGAGCTGCTCGAAAGTCTGGACTGATAAAAAAAATTAACAGCCTCTATCAAGACCTGACTATACCGCTCTCCCGTCAGGGAGGTACCCCAAAGAATTATGAAACTGAAATACGACTGCAAGGAAGCTGTGTAAGGGCTTATTAGTAGATAAGTAAAAGCTGTTTAAAATATTGTGAGTATTGAATTTAAAAAATGTTTGACTGCTGGTGCTTTACATGTAACCTTGGTTTACATGTTAAACTTTCAATTTAATAGGAATGTATGGACAAATTGGAAGAACCAGACTATAAGCCTTCTCGTGAACGGCAGCTTCCTCTAGAGGTGCATGCCATGTTGGGACTGGCAAACTCGTTGTGTATGAAGAAAGATATCGATGGTGCGATAAAGCTCGCTCAAGAAGTTATTCGAAAACGTAATTGTTTGGATTGGTTGATTTTTTATACCACTTTTTTCTGTTTTTCTCTTCTTTATAACTCCTCCATTTTAGAACCTCACCATCACGGGGGCTACGAAGCAATGTATACATTTTGTGATGAAAAAGGGGACATTGAAAAGTCCTTTCAGTACGCCCTGTTAGCTGCCATATTGAACCCGAGGTGTACCGCGGACAGCTGGGAAACTGTGGGCGACAAAGCCGCCATGCTTCACCATTACGAGCAAGCTGCTCTTTGTTACCACCGCGGTACGAACCCTCGATTTTCATATCTCTTTTCAAGATATTTGTTTTACTTTCTTGCAGCATTTCGAATGTCTCCAGCGGAGTGGAGGTGCTATGAGAAGCAAATCCCCATTCTGCAGAAGTTGGAACAACCGAGGAAACTGCTTTCGACTCTGCAGTTCGCTGTGAAGGGCATGAAGCATAGCAGCGACTGGTCACTGGAGAGATATCTCTCGTTTACTCTAGAGGTTATTGAGGTAGGTAACAATTGTTACAGTTGCCATAATGGCTTTTACTGCATTTGAAAGTGCGTTAGAATTGCTATCTGTATTATATCTACAAGTTGTTGATGCTATACCTAGGGCTCGTTGCGATCTAGAATTTTTCAAATTATCGTGCTTCAGTGTTGTTACTTTACCGTCTCGTGCAAAAGAGACTAATAAGGAAAGGGGAAGATAAGGTTGCTGTGATATTTAGTCCCTCCATCG